TCTAGGATTATGTTGTGGCCTTGGTAATGCACCAGCATCCAAGGGTGGTGGTGGCAGTTTCATCGACACATCTGATTCTCCCTATCAGAGCCGCAGTGGCAAAGGTGAGGTCTACGACCTCTAACATGTGTTAGTGGCTGTTGAGAAGAGCGATCTTTGGGCATGATTCAAGCACCTCGGCTATGTAATAGCCGAGGTGCTTGAATAGACCTCGTTGATGTCTAAGCCACAGCCTGGCCTACTGTACAAATAGCACAGCTGGAGCCCCCCTTGACCAGGTGGATCTCAACAGCGAACGATTCAACACCATCCCCACATTGTAGTGGATTAGTTATCACAGAGCCCAGCATTGTTTCTCTGACTTGGGTGATCAATCCTCTGTGCCAGCTGTGCTTGGCTGCACAAAGATATGATATAGCATCTCCCGGAGCATAGAAAAGTCAGTGTTCCTTAATTGCGCAATTGCGTGGAGAATGGCACTTCAAGACTGTCTGTGGACTGCGACACCTTTGGCTTACTTGTAGTAACGCACAATGCTTATCTCTTGTAGATTTTCACCTCTTACTATCTGAGACAATTGCAGCACAAATAAGTCCTTGCGGACTATTGCAATTTTCTCCCTAAGCATGTTCATATGTCTATCCGTCGACTGAATTACTGAAAAAAATGAAAAGTCATGCAAATAATTGAAATAACTGTGTCATTGCTATCTGACATATTTTGATTATATCTCACGGCCTTTGTTGTGACACAACCCCCATCCCTCCACGTTACCAGCCACCTCATCCAACATGATAAAAGTATTGACCAAGCACACGTGTCTCCTATACCACCAAGTCGGGAACTGCTAAACCCTAACTCACTCTCACTCTCTATCTCTCTCTCTTTGTATCTTACCCTCTCTCTCTCTCTCTTATAATCTATTTCTCTCTCTTTCTCAATCTCTTCCTCTATCTCGCTCTCCCAATCTCTTCTTCCTCTCTCTCTCTCTTTATATATGTATATATATATATTATATATATATATATATATATATATATATATATATAATATATATATATATATATATATATATATATATATATTATATATAATATATATATGTATATATATATATATATATATATATATATATATATATATATATATATATATATATATATATATATATATATAAGAGGTATTAACAGGCCTCTTTATATAGTGTAGTTGAATTACAGGTAGCGTCAGTGATACACTTAGTGGCTTCACTATTTATTGATGAGAACACACGATATAAGAAACTAAGATATGCCGGCTCAGTGCTGAGGGTAGACCAGGCCGGGCCTCGGAGGCAGCGGTCACCGGAAAGGTCACACAGAAGGTGAGAGGGTGGGTCAAGATTTGGCCTCCCTTTTATCCGGCCAGAGGGGCGCAAACAGGTGTGGGTGAAGCGAGGGTCAGGCAGCGAGCGTGGGGCACATGGCGACCCTGGCAGACCACGTGGTCTAGATGTGGACACATGTGGGCAGTAAGCTATGAATGCATGTATTGCACCCTACACTCGCTATATTTCTCTCTCTGTCATGGGTTTTTGTGTTTGCCCTGATTTGTTGGATTATGGAGACACAATTCTGGTTCAGCTGTTTATTGATAGAAGTGGCTGGTAGGTAGCGTGGCGCGGGCTGTGTCTTCTGCTGGTGCAATTGTGGGCAAGGAGAGCCCAAAGGGCACGCCGAGCGGGGCGCGAGTGGGGAGAGACCCTCAGGGAGGAGGTCTGGTCAGGGCCGTGGGCCCCGGTCAAGTGTGCTGCCCCGGGTCAACTGTGTGTAGGTTTCGAGCGCTGGTCGCGGGTCCCTAGTGGAGACTCGGGAAAGTAACCCTTGTTCCTCAGACTCACTCTCTCTCTCTCTCTCTCTCTCTCTCTCTCTCTCTCTCTCTCTCTCTCTCTCTCTCTCTCTCTCTCTCTCTCTCTCTCTCTCTCTCTCTCTCTCTCTCTCTCTTCCCTCCATCCCCTCCCTCCCTCCCTCTCCTCTCTCTCTCTCTCTCTCTCTCTCTCTCTCTCTCTCTCTCTCTCTCTCTCTCTCTCTCTCTCTCTCTCTCTCTCTCTTCTCTCTCTCTCTCTCCCCCTCCCTCCCTCCCCCCCTCTCTCTTTCTCTTTCTCTTTCTCTCTTTCTCTTTCTCTTT